TGTCGGTGAAATAAACTTTTTACAAAACTTCATGTGATGCTTGAAAACCATTAAACTATTCATTTATAAGCAAGTCATTGTTTTAAATAAATATCCTTTTAAGTATATATATATATATATATATATATATATATATATATATATATATATAATTATTATTATTATTATTATTTTGATTTAAAATAGAATCATTTAGTTAGTCCCAACGTAGGACCAGGCATATATATGCATTGGTCCAAGTTGCCACACCTCATTAGCATAACAAGATGAACACCAAATTCTTGAAAGCAGTAACGTCAGTGGTAATAAAAAAGACATTTCATATCAGGATATAATAGAGGGAGGAAGAATTAGTTCGCAGAAAGGAAGGTATAAAGTAATTTTAATCTCACGGTTTAAGGAAAGACAAAGAGTGTGTACACCTACTCTATTGTGATCGATTCTGGGTCATGTCACCTAAAGTCGCCAAACATTGGTTACTATAAAGTGTTATAAATATATTTTACATAAACATATATTCTTGTTCAATAGTGAATGTAGCCCATAGAATCGAATTTTAATATTAATTCTAATTAACTATTCAAGATTTTATAGTTAACGTCATAGAAAAATGACCTTAGTTAAACATTCACATAAGCTAGGAAGTACTAGGACAAATACTTTATTCTACTGTACGATGTTTTAACAATATACAGGCGTCAACGCAAAACTATTAGTACAAAGAAACTTATAAATCCATCCGATCGATTTTGCACATTGCATTTTCATTGGAAGCTTTCTTTTAAATTACTGAATCACACTTTAGTTATTTTCATAATATCTAAGCTAGTGGATGGTAACTTAGATACTAATTAAGTTATATATGTACAGATTAAATACACCATGATTTATTATAATTCTGAATTTTTACCATTTTAAGAAGAAAAAACGCATTACAATTATCTTGTTAACAGCTGTATTGTAAAATATTTGTTCAGTATTTTTGAATACCAACTAATTTCTCTTTCAAATCTATAATCAGTGAATGAAAACTGATTGTATATACAAGTATATATATATATATATATAAATATATAATAATATATATATATATATATATTTTAATAAGATGCTTGAATGAACGTTTGTTCATTTATTTCAAATATGTCCCAGTAAATCAGTCAATCAATCAAACATGCATTAGCAACGTAGAACATACATATATATTATAGGTTCAAGTTGCTATACCATATTAACACAAAAAGATAAAGTTATTAAGACAAATATGAAAATAGTCAGATTAGTAACATCATCAGTTGTAGTGAAAAAAACATTAGACACTAGACAATATATCAAGGAATACTTTTCACCAGACAACCACTAAAAACCAGGAAGCTCTGGACAATCATTTCATCCAAGTATCCATCTATGACCCTGCCAAGTAATGAATCCAGGATCTTCATATATCACAGTGAACACCTAACATTTAGATCACTGTTTTACAATTTTCAGTGGTTTCCTTAATTAAGATTATTCCGTAATGTACATTGTAAAATTCGGACACCTCCACAAAACCATGTAGTAATAAATCTTATGATTCAAGAAGAATGAATAAATTTGTAGGATAAGGAACATAAGATTAATGTAAAATTAATAATCTGATGGAAGACAAAGAGTGACTACATCTGTGTCATTGTATGAACAAGTAGATATAACTCTAATTATCTATAATAAAAGTTTTAAGTAAAAAAAGCGCTTGGATTTACTGTATTTCCTATTCATATAGTTTTGATTAAGCAGTGTATTAGTGTCAACAAGATATTATTATTATGTTTGCTATTCCAATCCACTTTCATTCAGTGTCACAATCAATCCCGTCATCACTAAATTATTGTTATTAAGTTGTTGGAGTTCTCCATCACCACTAAATTTCTGTCACTGATCGAGATTACTGGTTACTTTATTCTGATATAACTTGTCGGTAAACATCGTACAGTTATATAATACTATTATTCTTATCTTATATTCACTGATTTCGAACTTTTCAAAAGCCTTGTCTATAATTCGTATCAATCAATATTATTTGGTTCTACCTGTATAATCTTCATTGATAGTCAGTACGGTGAAAAGATGTTGAAATGCCTGGCCTCAAAACGTTAGGAGTGTCGAATTGAAGAGAACAGAACTGTAAACTGAGAGTACTTGTAATAACAACAGGAATGGAGGAACGATAAATTTTGTAAGAGACAATCGATGAAAGATGTTTTCGTATTTTACGAAGACATTCTGTAATTTTGTACTAACTTATAAATTGGTCTTCTCAGCTTAACTTCTTCGTTCACTACATTTGTACTTTGGCTAACAAGGGAATCTAGGATACTCGTTTCATTCTATTTAAAACTCTTCAGTTTTATGTATATACAGCCCAATTACAAATACACCCTGAACGGGTTGATGGCTTTATGGATTCAATAACTCTATAAATAACACACTGACTTTTAGAGAGAAAGATATTGAGTTTGGATACCAGCAAAAACGTCGAAACAGGCAACCTGACAAGTGTATTTAATAGGACGAAGAGTGTGCTTTGGATTTCACAGTTAACTATAACTATAAACAATAACGAAGCAATCCTCTCAAAATATATGTTTACTGATGAGGACTAATGAGTATTGAGAACGTGGAAAATCAAATAAATACACATTACAAAGTGCATAGGTTTAAGTTCAGTCTATCACTAAAATGGGCAGATCAACCGTTGAAAGGCGGTCAAATATTTGTTATCACAGCAATGTTCGTTATAATATCTTGTCTTATTTTCTTCTTAAGGTTCATTAACTCAGCTTACATTCATAGTTAAATAGTGGTATAATGCAAGCTTTTAACTCAAATTCTCATTACGAAAAGTAGTTTTTCCAAAAAAAACAGGCAAAATATTATCCATGCTTGAGTAGAATACATAATCATTAGGAATGTAATATTTTGTTTGTTCTCAGTAATATTCAATATTGGTGTTGATCGACTTTCGTAAGTTGGTTTGATCATTCAAACCATCCAGTTCAGAGTACGAAACTCTACTAAAATCATTCATCTGAGCTATATAAAAAAATCATCTCAGTTATGATATTTTGTACTGTATATAGTGTTTTTTCATAATATAAAGTTTATTTCTAAAAAAATGCATGAATTCTTACAGATTGGAGAGTAATAGTTAAATTTCTGATGCAAGGAGGATTTCGACTTCAAACATCTTGCAAAATATCATTTATTTTATAGTAACTCATAAAAGCTTTACTATATCTTTTAATTTCCTATTCGTTTAGTAGTTGACATACTTTTATGGTTATAATATTTAAATGTACTATTTCAAAATCTACCGATCTTACACTCCATTACTGATGATACACTGGAAATAATTAAATCATTATTTTCAAACCAATTAAAAGTAAGCAATATTTAGGGAAAAAAATCAAACCAATCAGCTAATTGCAGAAATATGAACTTATTTCAATCAACCAATCAAAGGAGAGTATAAATCAGTAGGATCAAATTTGTTCATTTCAAATAGATTAGTTAAGATAATAAGATTTTTGTCTAATCAATGAGAATTTAATCGAGTAGAATTTTATGTATAATTGATCATAAATAATGTCGACATATTTATGATATCAGTTTAGGGGTTGTGGAGATTGTTAAGTTTTTGATTGAGATCATGAACCGATTGATGTTAGACTACCATTGAAAACCTGGGAGCACTGGACGGCCGTTTCATTCTATTGTGAGACTCCTCAGCAGTGCGCATCTACGATCCCGCTAACGGGATTCTGACCCAGGACCTTCAGTCTCGCGCACAAACGCCTAACCTACTGGACCACTGAGTCAATGCTGTTAATGTCTAACCTCAACCAATCCACGAAATTGCACGACCATCTTCCACTGTACTGAGGCAGACACCTGTTTCTACCCGACACGGATTAGCTCCACTGGTCACGGCTTTGTGATGCATTTTCATCGGTAAAATAAAATTTAAATTCATGAACTGAACTATATTATTACACAAATAAACTTGTAAATGATTGGAGAAGTTTTGTTAGAAAATCCATCTTGAAGATAATCAGATTATCTAGTAAAGCTCATAAATAATAGTTTTAAACCAACAAATGATGTGCTACAGAAAATTATTCCAAGGGGTCAGCATTGCATCGACTTTTTCAGTTACCATTATAACAATTAAATATGGTTTAAAAGGGTTATTCATAGAATTTAACTTAGATGATGTATCTGCCTAATTTGCCTCAAGCTGTATGTACATATTCTCGTCTCCTTGGAATAACATGTAAGTTAGAAGAACGGAGATGGTATTATTAAAAAAAATTCGGGACAAAGGTTAAAGAACTTGAACATGAGTAACTTCAAACTACTGATAATGCCATAGGAAGACATATATCAAACATTGGTCATTCAGTAAATTTTGATATTGTCTTCCGACTTCTACGTTTCATAGAAGCAGATTCCACTTAACATTTCAACTTCAGTTGATGATATAAAATATCTTGTCATTCACCTGAGATATACATGATTACTAAATTCCTGATGTTCTTCTCTTCCACTTTTCTCTCATCTTAGTACGATATTTTTGAAAACTATTGTTTTTGTTTATTCGATTTTTGTTCATAATCATGCGATGACTATTTATTTTAGTTAAGATTATCATTTCTAATTTATAGTTATGACTATAACTAGTCTTATTTAATATTATTTAACAAAATGACTGAACTGTTTAACTGATCAGGTCAAAATGTTGATCTATTTGCTTTGTAGGCATAAACCACGTTACCTGAATGGATTTCAGCGTTAATTTGAAAATTTTATATTTTCAATAGTTAATTAACAATCAAATGAGTATGATTCTATTGTTACGATAATATAAACATTTATATTCAATCATTCTGGAAGTCATATAATTATCGGATTATAAACGTTTAAATGATATAGAAAAACTTTACATATATTTATTATCAATGTCATACGCATTTGATTTACACGAAAGTATTTACGGTTCTGAGCCTTATAATACAACCAATTGTAAAATCCCATCGAATCGAACAACAACACAACTTAAACAAAATGGTTATGTCAAACAATTTCTACAACAAAATGGTATGAGAAAAACGAAAAAAAGTGGTCCATTAATTTCAGTGAATGGTACTGGAGGGGAACAGGTGAACAACGATTTGATGCACATTTTAAAGTATTGCTACTTGGTAATTCCGGTGTAGGGAAAACATCAATACTTAGAGCTCTTGTTGGTGAAACATTTTATCAGACTACTATTTCAACAATCGGTAAGTTATATCAATCATTTTTTATTATTCATTAATGTAGAAATTGTTTATGAAATATGAATGTACTGATAAGTCATAGATGATTGAAGCAAAACTCTAGATATTAGTCGGGAAAAAGTGATAAACACTAAGGTCTTGAAAGCGTATTAGTAGTTACTACAAGTTGATTAATTTGAGTGTAAACGTATCATGTAGATCTCAAACATTGCCCTGTCAACGAATACCAACTAGTATGAGATGCAAACCCACGACTTTCTGCCAAATACTTCCAATCACTTAAAATCAAATCAAATGTGTGTCGTGATATTTAGCTAACGAGACCAGTTATAACGTTACATCGTGATAAACAGAATTTGATTTGTGACAATAGCTAAATAACAACAACCTTGTTTAACGGCATTTTTTTGCATAATTTGTTTTCTTTGGCTCTGTTTTACGTTGTCACCATTTAACGTTTACCAAACCTTTTTATTATTATAAATAAAAATATAATATTTGTAATATCAAGTCAAACCTTGGTAATGATACCTACGTTTTATTATTAGTTCTACAGTTTTCGTAGTTTTAATCACAAACTGATCTTAGCTAGACAACTATTGTAAACCAGGAAGCTCTGGATGTGCTTTAAACTATGGAAATCCTACAATATACACAAAAGTTGTACTGATAACTAATCATGTGTTCAGTAACGACTAGCTTCAAAATGAAGTTCATGAAGTCCAAATAATAAACCATGGCTAGTGCAGTTCAACCATTTCAAGTGTGCAATAGTTATCCACAATCGAAGATGACAGGTCAGGATCATGAACTGATTAAAGTTAAACATATACAACTTTGAATATAGGCTCACTAGTCTAGGGGTTACATATTAGTGAGCAAAAATATAGGTCCTGGACTCAATCCTTTGACGTGAGGTCGTTAATGAGAACTTGTGAGTAAAACCATATTAAGATAAAAAAAGTTATCCAATGAATCTTTGCTCTCAGTAGTCCTCTATTTAAGATCATTTCATGACTTAAACTATAAAATTTCTACAATCTCCACGAAACTCTGTACCAATAATCTTATAATTCATCTAGAAATTTAAACTTCTTACAGGCAATAAAACATACAAGGACAATTCTATTAACATTATTATCCTTTAACTTCAGTTAGTATCAAAAAATTGACATTTTCAATGAGCTATTATAGACCAAGTGTAATAATACAATTTTTTTATAAAAAATTATTGATAAAAATCAAAACATGAAACAGTAAACATACTGTCCATTATGGTGTAATTGAACAAACCAAATTTAAAGATTTAAAAAAACAACTTTTAACAACTAATTAATCATTCAGTTTAGTTTGTGCATATAATGAAGTACTAAATCAGCTGATTTCATTTAGTTTGTTTGTTTTTTTGTTTTTCTTAGTGTAAAGTACAAGGTATAAATTTTATTATTAGAAGGGGTTTTGTGGAGATTGTAGTAATTTCAACAGTTGAGATCACTTGTGAATGGCTTCAAGAGATATATCCTGGAGTTCTAGTGAGAAGCAGTGACCAGTGGACTTCAACCGGGTCAGTTGTGAGGTAGTAATTCACTGATGACAATGGTGAATGTGTCGCTCAATTTCGTGGATTAGTTGAAGTTAGACATTAACACCGTTGGATACCGGCTTAGTGGTCTAGTTGGTTAAGCGCCTGGCGCGAGACTGGTAGGTCCTGGGTTCGAACCTCGCGGGGCGCGGTCGTGGATGCACACTGCTGAGGAGTCCCACGATAGGACGAAACAGCCGTCCAGTGCTCCTATGTCTTCCATGGTGGTCTAGCTTTAATTGACTCATGGTCTCAACTGTTGAAAATAAGCTTTATTGTTGACTTTTTATTTTCATAATGAACATATGATAATTAACATCTTTTTCTTGATTGATTACATAAGAATTATTTATTATTTAGTCGTAGTAAGTAATTTATATAATTAGTTAATATGAAATGTTAGAAAAATTGATATGCTATGAATATAAGGCTTTTTGTGGTGTTGACTGAATGCTCATGGATTTTAAATCACGAACTGATCTTAATTAGACCTGAAAGCAGTGGGTTAGCGTTATCGTTTTTTAGCGAGTTAGTTTTCTATGGAATGGGGTCGCTAACCCATGCTCAACAGTCCTCCTTTACCCGGGCTTGGGACCGGCAGTGACTCTAGAAGAGCTGCAGGCGGAGTTTGAAAGCAGTGGACGTATATTATATTCTTCGATGATACTCGTTGGTAGTTTGCTCATCAACAACATCGCATCCGGAATGCACATTTCTGCAAAGTCTCATACTAGTATGAAAGGGCCGTCCACTGCTTCCAGGTTTTCAATAATTTAAAGCAATTAGTCCTTTGATAAATTTCGATAATGTAATAAGAAGACGAAGATTATCAGAACTATGTGATATATTAAGTATTAGGCTAATATTTCACATAGTTCTGACAATCTTCGTCTTCCTATTACATTATCGAAATTTTTCAATGGTAGTTTGACTAAAATGGGCTTGGAATATCAGTCATATTTAGGGATCAAAAGTATATAACACAATCTAAAATTCTTGATTATATTTTCAATTTATTGGTAGAGAAGAAAGGAAAATATGTATGTGTCTTCAGTCTACTTTTAAAGTTTTCAATAATAGGAATAAAAAAATGATGTATTTGGATGTTATGTGGCTGAAAGTGATCAATCAAAAGCCGCGGACCTTGTTTCATGCCAGTTAGAACCAGTAAATAGTATTCTATAATGTTCATTCAGAGGTGGTAAAACTTTGCTTTCCTAGCTGGAACTTACAGCAAGACTAAGTGTTGTGTCTTGAGACCACCGATCAATATCAAATGCCAAGTCACCAATCAGAATCCTGATCCTAGTTTGACCTGTTTCGCGTTTACTATTTCTTAAACAGCCCAGTGTCCCAAAATTGACCAGTTACATGGACGATTATCACTGCTGACCTCAAGACAGAAGCTGAGTTCTTATTAGTCTGTTAGCCAAAAGCTCTTCTCTATGTCCAGACTCGGGTTCAGAAGTAGCGATCAGTCTCTACGATATTTATAAATCAAACAGACGTGGTTTATAAACAGGCAGATCAGAATGCATCATACCATAAAATGAAAAGTAATACTTATACGTGATCAAGTCAAAAGTTATCTGCGAGTAAGGGACACTGTAAGTAATTGACTGGCAACAAATTCGGAATAGTCAATTTATAACCGTAGTTAATGTGTTAACTGAAACTTATGATAAATAGAATATCTGTACACAGCAATTTAGTTACTCGGTAATCATACAAAAATATTATTATTAGTAATATTTCGAAGAATTAGTCCCAACCATTGCAATATTCATTCCATTATAACACCAAGTTATGCGAATGGAATGATCACTAAGTGTGAACCCCGAATATCGTATTTATCTAGTTCTTAATGCCGATTGAATTTTAATGACACAGAAAGCACTTGTTGTCTGAAGGTTGTAAAAACATTTTGTCGATGAACTACTGATTAGCTTAAAACCTAAGTCAGGATTCACTAGTTAAAATTTCAGTAATATACACTTTTTATCTTGAAACTTATATAGGAAGCAACGAGATATTCACCATATCGGTTGAGCATTATCTACCAAAACTTTATCAATAAGTCTTTAACGCCACAAAAGACACATTTAAAAATGAAGATTGTTTTTTTAAATCAACTTTTAGTTCGGTTATTTTAAACATGAATCTATTAACAAACTTGATCGTGTAGAACCTTTATAGTAGACTTATTTTGCATACCCTTGAATATTTTTTTGAACCCATGACCGTTATTAAGTAATGTAGAATATTTTTGATCTGTCTGTATCATAATTAGTCTTATATTGTATATACTTGACAGTTTAATTGAACACTTAAACAATGTACAGTATGTTTGTTTGTCCTATTGACTGATTATGTATTCACTTTCTGTCCTTTTTAAATCGTCTGTATACATGTTTGTCTGGCTATTCTCTCTCCCTAGTTCCATTTATTCCCTGGAATATATAAACTTCCATAGTTAACTCTTGGTTTTAAACTGAGTTATCCAAAGTGATAGAAGCATTTTGCATAGTAAAACTCTGTGAAGTAATATAAAACGGCAGCTCTTGTTGTCAGATCAAAGCCTTAAGACTTACCATGAAACCCTAGGACAAACGTTTATAAATAACGGTTGTTTGGTAGATAACAATATTTTAACAATTGTTAAATGTCAGAAAAGTAAACTTCATTGAATCTTGAAGATTTGCTAGAGTTTCAAATACATGTAACTATTCGGAATAAGAAAAACAAAATTTAAGTTGAACCTGATCACTACAGTTTAAAATTGTCAAAAGAACTGTCTATGCCCGTGTGAGATAAAGTTGACTTAAGTTCGTGAATGAATAGGGACAAATCAATATTGAAGATTTATCAATCAAAATGATTTACTGTGAGAGTAAAAATATTTCCTGTTTTCCATGGTTATATAACTTTAATACCGGTGACGATAATTATTTTACCACTGGTTTGAATACTCTATTGATGAACCGTACACAGACTGGGTCATGTTTTACTAGATACCTGATTCATGACCAAATGATAGGCTGGTCGATACCTTAGTTTACATAATTACGATCAGTTCACACTCATTGAGCTTAAAATAGAGATCAGTGATAGGACAGGAAAGCAGCTATTAAATAGTTGATGTCTACCAGTTCATATCCAATAGCCAACTACATCTTACTTTCACTGCCACACATTAAAAACATTTCTATGCATCGTTTATTTTGGTAAGATAGGTACACTTAAATTCATGATATACTGATTAAAAACTGAAATAATGCTACTGTTAATCACACCTTCATTAATCCAAATGGTAAAGGGAATGATATCAATGTATAAATCGGTAAAACAATAAACTGCTTCCTTTACTCATACTCAACAATGTGATAATGAGACTATTTATAACAGATGATAACTACGATGTACAAACTCAATTCTTATTTATAGATTCACTGTTATACGATATTTATGAAGTTGTTATTTTGTATCATGAACTCATTCTATTCAATATCGTGGATTGACTGAAGTGAGAACTGTGGATCATTGGGTTTTAACCAAATAGTATAAAAGTAACACATTTGCACAAGAACTGAGTATTTTGGATCCGATCTCTGAGAAGTTCAGGAGAAGAAAATACTGACAAGCTCGATTGAAACACCTAACTCTTATTTTTTTAATAAATGAAGTCAGTTTGTTCTATACACTGTATTTGATGATGATGATCATTTATTCAAATCACTATAAATATTCAACGTGAATTCGAAGCAGTTAAAGAAGTTTGTTCACATAGAAGAATAAATCTATCTTTAAACTTTTCAATAATTAAATTTCATAATCATTTTTATTTTTGCTTGTTTATTTAAGGTATTGATTTGATTAAACGAATATTCACAGTCGGAAATCATCGTGTACAATTAGAAGTATGGTAAGTTCTATATTACGTATTTTTTATGTTATACAAACTATATCTAATAAGTTGTAATGTTTATAAAGCGAAAGCAAATGCTTAGATAAGGTTAGCTTGACAGTTATGCCTAGACAGAACTTTTGTTTTCCCCGAATGTGAATTGTTTTCATGATAACACTCATTTTCTATTTTAATCATAGATATCTTAAGATAGAAGATATATGGAGATCATGATATAAATATAGTGTAGAGATGAGCTCGAGTGACCCTTAAAATGACCGCGTAATTTTCAAGATATTTTTTAAGTCAATCAGTAAAGTTTATATAAATCAAAATTATTTAACTAATAAGGTGATGACATTTGTGAGAGTATGGTAGTTTTAAGAAGTTAATTGGTTTTGCAATGTTTATTATCAGTTTTCTAATTTTAATATTGTGGAAATATGGTTACAGAACCTTAAAAATCTGAATGTGGATTTATTCACACGAATGGTTTCTTTCCAAATCTTCCTCATAGTTGTAAATAACCTTAAGTAAATTTATAATTGCCTACAGAATAATTATCATGTAATTCTCTGGAAAGATAAAGATTCAGTTGTAGGGGAATCACTGTTGACGCCGTATCAACATAAAGAATTCATGTCTACAAATCTTCATCTATCTTGGAATTCCTAATTCCCTAACTCACTAAATTATCCAATGAAACATTGATAAAAGTACAAAGCTAACACTTTAAAAACTCCTTTGAAGAAATGATGTATGTGAATAACTTTCAAAAATTTATTTTTGTGTATTTCCGTCACCCTACAGAGTCTTCAAGATTAGCCATAATATACATGCCTTTTCAGATCCCTCAAATATCCTTCCATGATATGTTCAACTTGGAAGTAACAACTGACTTCATAACTTGAACAGAAATTGTAGATTGAAATACTTCAAATAATCACTGTTACTTCATTGTTACTCAGGTGAAATCAACTTTAATAATCTTAAGCTGAAGCTGCACTGCTTAACATTTCTACTACGTATAGAAAATTGTTACTTTTTAATCTCTTATAGGGATACAGCAGGTCAAGAACAATATCACTCTATTGTATCGTTACATTTTCGAGAGGCTAAAGTAAGTGAAAATACAAACCTTTGTTTCGAGAATAAAAGTCTTTTATGGTTTTGAAAATACAACCATTATATATCATAAGTTTTATTTATAAAAGGAAAGTAGAATTATAGTTTCATAATTTAAATCACGGATCGATCTTGACTATACCATTGTCGACAACCTGGAAGGAATGGACGGTTATTTCGTCCTACTATGGTGGTCCTCAGAAGTGTGCTTCCACGACCCCATCACGGAGAATCGAACCCAGAACGTTTGACTTTGAGCGTGAACATTTAACCTCCGACTAATGAGCCAACACTCAACAGCGTAGATGTTTAACTTTAGTCACAACTTATGATACTGTTTAACTATCTTCCGTTGCCTTCAGTGGATAACATTCTCGTAACTAACATATTTTGTTGTTGTTGTCGTACCAATTAATGATTTCTGTGGTTTTAATACTGGCCAATACAAACTTGAATCCCGTGCTGAGGAATGGTTGCTTCAACATTTCAGACTATTTCTAATAGAGATTAGAACTAGATATATCGGTTCCAACTGGTTTCTTTCAACTTAATAACATTATGAGTGACCGCATCTATATGTCATGATTTAGATAACTGTGACGTGTTTGACTGAATGATTTGATATTGATGCAAAATAAACTGATTACTTATTGGATAATAACTAGTATCACCTTTTAGCATACCGTATGCTTGGTCGCATCCTATCAATCAATTAGTAGTGTAGCCTTTGGGCTACTGAATATTGCATACACTGTTTTGATGTTAACTAATTACAAAACAAGAAGTACTCAGCCTTGGACATCGGGTTCCATCCAAGTTTACATTTGTCAGTACAGTATATTTGCAATCTTGTAAGAACTAATTGTTTCTGTATAATTCCTGAATTCGTATCACTTATAGTTATAGTGGAAGATAAAAGTTACCATCAGAAAATTGACTTACAAATTAATTTTACAGTCAGTATGATTCGCATTTGATTACGAAACCCTATTTTATTGACCAAACACTGTAACTCTGTTATTTGAACGCTTTATAGCTAGAGAGTGTTTTAATTTGAAACGTTGAAATTATGTTATAAACTTACATTTGAATAAAGTGTAAAACAGACAATAATTTAATTCTGTATTTAATTAAAATAAGGACTAAGCCAACTATTTATATAATTTCGACTGTATTTCAAGTTCTTTCCTATCAATATGACGTAAATACACGAAATAAAAACATTTTTACTATCTAAACGTATAATAGGGTTGGCATCATTTTGGCGGTTTAGTGTACAGAATAGCTGTGAAACATATAATCTAGAATATATGAATGATTTGATGTTGTTTCCCTTAGGTATTTTACAGTATAGTAACTATTTAACAAAAGTTCTCAAATAAAATCAGTGTAAATGCAAACAAGATTACTGACTATTAACTTTTTAGCGGTTAAGTTACTGAACTTTTAACGATTAAGTCACAAATTATAACTTCAAACCACTAAAAATTAATTGATGAAGTTTGAACATGATATACAGTGAGGGTCACTTTATTGCTAATCCAGTCTCTTAATGATAAGTTCATGTTATTGGCCAAGAAATGGTCTCATTTTTCAAGGGGTATATATATATATATATATATATATATATATATATATATCCATTCAACTGAACCAACAAAACTCCCTCCTCACTCTTAGTATTCTCACTAAGTAACCGATTAGGAGCATACGTATAGAAAGTTTATGTATCAATATCCCTTTTGAATGCTTCATATAATAACAGCAGACTTCACAAAAATCAATAAATCTTAACAAATCTACTATTCCTGTTTCTTGTTCAACTCAATTTTTCATGATTCTTGCCATCTTAGATGAAGTTTATGATTTATCAAGATATGCATTGAAATCTGACGGTACATAAAAAATGCTTCCACTGACTTAGTTTTTTAATAAATGTGTTTATTTTCTAATGTGGAAAAGTGATAATTTTTGAAAAAGAAATGTCATTTATATCATATGACTTGTTAATAAATGATTGAATTCAAGTCCCAATTAGATACAAACTTTACTAATCTTATGCTTGTGTTGTGAGAAAACCAATTCTTATCTAAGTGATTAAGAAAAAAAGTCTGATAGTGATAATCAGTAGTTAGGTGGAATGCTTAATTGAGTTGTGCTTGATATTGAATCCCTGGATCGGACGATATATATTAAGAACACAAATATAATGATATGAATGTAATTGACCTCTAAAATAAATAAATCTGATATTTGAATACATAATTTGTTTTGTATTGTATGATTTACTCACAGTTAGATAAGTATAAATGAATTGTGTAGTATTGATTACCAAATAGTCAATGACATACAATACGAACATATTTACAATATCATAGAATTCATCATCTGTAACTAACAGATATAACTAATTGACTGAGTTAGAGAATTACTCTTTCTCATGATGTGATTGCATGTCACAACTGATTAGATAAAGATTCATTTCATTTGTCATTATCATTGGAATTGACTAAGTCATTGCTCGTCATATTTTAGTGGCCCTATATCTGACTACAGTTAGATCGGACAAATGATCGTTATCGGGTGATTGCTGTCGAAATATACATCATGGCTACCCTCGTATATAATCATTGACTTAAACCACGTTAGTAAAAAACGAAATTAAATAAGTCATGTACGACAATGGGTTTCTGAATACCTATATTTCGTACAATCATTGATCACAACAAACAATCAAAGAGCTGGAGAGAAGGAAGCGACATGAGCTGGGGAAGTCATGTTAGCCAACTCGATTTAACCATGCATGAATCGATATTGATAGTCGAAAAAAATAACTTACAGACACATAATAAGTAGGGTAAGTAATTAACACACATGTGATCATAAAACAAAACAGTCAGGATTAATAAACAAATAAGTGATAGGGTAAAAATGTGACTTGAGCAGGATGAATATATTGATCTATTCAGAGGCTAGAATGACCTGTGTGGGCTTGGTATAGTATCTGCCCCTACAATATCACCTTCATCAAATGATATGGGATTCTTTTGGATAACATTGGTGAAACAATGATAAAATTGGATTTTTTTAGTATATGCTCCTGTTCTTATGAAAATAGTTTTGTCCGTTTAGTCTACAGACTATATTTCTATTCTTGACCTTGTATTTAAGATAATTCTCCATCATCATCTAATTGATAATTCGGCAGACATTTTTAATTTCACTTTATCGCGTATCTTCAATCAAAAAATTGTTTTATGAACTGATTCTTAATAGTATGAGTATCCATTTACTGTAGACGACGTTGAATATTATGGGACTAAAACTGAAAGTAATGAAGTTGAATTCGAAGGACGTTCTGAGACTTTTGAATGAGGCATCATAGCTAAATCTGGATTGAAACGGACTTTAAGACTGTCTACTATTGACTCTCATTACTACCTACACTCAGTGGATCAGTTTCATATGTCATTTGCATTTGTCATTCCTCGTTATATGAATATTACTAGTTCTTCAAAATTTGTTAAAAATTAAACTGCTCCACTTAGTATTGTAATGAACAGAATACGGGTGAGGACAATCGAATGTATTTAACACAAAATTACAAGACTTATTAATAAAATCTAACAATCATAAATGCTTAATTAGCAAAATGTCGATCAATTGTCTCAAAATGACTCAGACTTCATTGTTCTTGCATTTTCATACAAATTGCATAATGTTTCCATTCTTTACTGTTCGATCCTCTTGTCTCTCTGCTGCCAGACCTTCTGTTCACGACTAACATCATATACTACTTATGTCAATATAAGTAATACACACCACAGTACGACTGATCATGCCAGAGAACTGAACAGTAGGGGAGTAATTAATTAACCGCAATTAGAGAATGACAAACAAATAACAGTAGTTAGTGAATGAAATAAATTTTGCAGTAAGTCATATGAATTTTCCATACACCTAGTATTTAATAGCTGAGCAATTAAAATGGATATAATGATTAACCGTAGGATACTTCTATAGGTTACAATCGACTGATCACTGAGTGGTGACTGATGTCATGTTTGTCTGGTCCTTTTAAGTGGTGATCGAATTCTACCGATCAATTTCCAAAATGCTCAATACTTTGAGGGAATTAGGTTATTGTGACATATGTTAGGATGTTAGATACTTAGAGGTAATCCAAATCGGAACTCAGGTTTCGTACTAAATATAGGTTTCTCCAGCATAATGTGCCTGTAGTATTCAGGGAACTGGTGGCCCAGCGATGTCTAAGTTATAAACCTACGTGGCACAAGAGCACCCATCCTCCCAAGATTACGGGCAAAAATTTGCTGATTAGTATCAAAATAGCACGAAGCCTAGGCCCATGGTTGTCTGTCAGTTATCTCTAACTACCTAACAGTTCTAAAAATTCCATTTCCCCCAATAATTTGCTCTGATAAAAAAAAATTGGACTTGAATTTTAGTCTGTGTAATTTTGAGATCAGAAAAAGTCTTCAAGTATTGATTTCGCACATTAACTAAAGCTTAAACAGTTTCTAATTCTCATAATGGCTTTGACCAACGATCACTGACTTCTCTTACAAATCGTTTATTCATTTAGATAAAAAAAACCAAAACCAATGATGGCTACTAGTGAATTATTTTTGATACTGGTTAGGAATATTTCTTTATCCTACTTCCGAATATCACTCTTTATTAAACGACTATATATGCCCAATATCTTGACATAAATTTACAAGTCAAAATTGTTATTTCAGTGTTTTATTTCCCAATGGTTTCTACTCAGTTGTTTTGCTACAATCAGATGATACTAAGATGTCTTTTCTCATATCTTATGCCTTTTCAAATGTTAGAACAATCAGGTATAGAATACTTTAAAGTGAATTTTAGACAGTAGATTTCTGTTTAACAACTTATCACGAATAGGACATAATTAATGTATAGTGCAGAACAGTCTCAAACCTAAAAAGTAGCAGGTGTCTATTACTCATTTCTCTCTGTCAGTAGTTCGCTAGTTGATATGAATAACAGTGATGTAACATTTCTGTAAGAATTTATCTGTAAAACTAAAGTATGGACGTAAGCCTATGATATACGTGGAAATGGTTTCAAAATCAAGGTCTGTGCATCAAAACAGAATGTTATCTATTGAATGTAGATGATTAGTTACAGCTATTACTAACAATCCTATGCTCTATGTCCCAAACCTATCCTGAAATTCTAAACTCTGCATTCTAGCCCTATATCCTTATCCTTAAAATAATAACCATAACTTTTAATTCTAAGGCCTAAATCTTATTATTAACATTATAAATCGTTCATATTTGATGTTTTCTGAATGACGAAATAGGGTCAAGAATGTATCAAGGTCATCTGGGATGACTACAGCTCACTCGTATGGTTCATCTTTACCAATTCATTCACCGAGTGAGATGATGATCAGTTGAAAATCAACCAATTAAAGTGCTTTTATTACTGATTACGGATAGTGTGTAAATATTACAAGCCATTGGGAATAGTATTAGGGAAGTTATGCCGCGTACTTCTTTCAAGTGTGAATGTCGATAAAGCTATCAGTTCGTTTTGCACACTTCGATAATCTTATAATGTGGAGATGGAGTTGATCTGTAAATATGATGTTCTGACACTGTACGCTTTGAATAATCTGGGCAAAGTTATATTCTTAAGTTATTATAGGCCTTGGGCATAAATAAACTCAAACCCTTTTTGTGTTTTTGACAAAACAGTTTATTCCAACCTTGAATCTATTTGATTTAAAGGCCTAAGATGGTCTGCGATAGGGTTCTTATTCATTCGAAATTATATTAATTGTTTCTTTTGTTTATTTTCAATTATCACTTTATGTTTATTTGACCTTTAATTAAATCGGTGAACTTGACTAGTTTTTTGTAAATAAAAATGCCTTCACAATGATATATGTGTGATCAAACGAATCGGAATGTATAATCCGCATACGTTACATTTTAAAAATCAATATCAGCTACTCATCACGTTATAAAAAAAAGCCATTTTTGAGATAAATGAAGAAGAATAAAACCGTTAACATTTTCCGTGTGGTTAACTCTTTTCCACTGAGTGATGAAGATTAAGTATAGTGTACAAAAAAATAAAGGTGAAAATAATCACTTAACTATGAATGGTAGTTTATGCAGCTTTGGTGAGAAGTCATTACCAGTGAAGATCAACGATGTCACTCGCGAAATAACTGTAACGAACAACAATGGATAATTGTCAAGCAAAATCGTAAATTGATTGAAATTTTACATGTAAACCATTGGATATTAGCCCAATTGTGTAAAGATTAGGAGCTTGCTCAGATGTCTAAAAGCCGTTGGTTCGATCGCCAGTACCATTGTGGAGGAGCATCACCAATAAGTTCCATCCATATTGGGACGAAATAGATGTAGACTGTTTCCCGATTCTTAGTGTTTGACTAAGTGAAGTGCAAACTGTGAAAATCTATGACACAATAATATCACAACAATTGTAAAATAGTTTTAGTAAGAAAGTTTTTATTTCTTTGCTTAATTTTCTCCCTACTGAAGAAAATTATCGGTTCAAGTAGATGCTTCTGAAATTAGTGTGTTCCTTTTCAGCTAGGTAGTTTGTCTGTAAAGCTTCAACTATTTTTAAAAGCCATAGAGACCAATTAATGGATATAGGTTCAGTAGCCTTAAGATTAGGCTCTCGAAGGTGAATGAGCATTAATGAATTCCGTACTAAGACTAAATAGCTATTTCATATAACTGTCCATGATGTAAACTATGAAACCATGAAACGTATGTTCAACGTTTTTTTGAATATTCAACAACTAGGTTTCTTTGACATAGAATAAATGGAATAAAGCTAGTTATGGAATATGGAATGTGCACTTTTTCCTCTTCGGGACTTGTCAGCTGGAGGTACATATTTCTCATAATTAGTCTCCACTCCCAAACTCGAATCAAGCATTGTTCGCTTCAACACATCATCATGTTATACACCTAACTTGTATCATAATGACTACACCAAGACAATCCATACTGGATGCACATATGCTGATCAAATCTCTGTCACGGAGGGTCCACCTAGGAGAGTTGGAAAACCCTGATTCTAAATCAATAGTTCGCATGGGCTCCAGTATCCTGAGGGAAAAAATGGCGTATGAACCAATTGTTGGTCACCGGCTAACATAGTACTGCATCTACTGACGTTACTCCACTGCTTTGTGGATCAGACCTTTAGGTTGAAGGCTCCGGTTGTAACCCCCTGAGAAAACCATCTGCTTTAATCCGTGCACCCGAGCAGTATCACAGCCTACATACAAATTGAGTTGTGTGACGCATATGTATTCCGTGCCCATTTGTACTAATATTTATCTGTTTAAATAAAATTTCGGTCAAAAATAACAATGAATTAATCTGAACTACTTAAAGTTGCATTAAGACTCTCTTTGATATTTTAACTTATTTATTCCTAAAAATGTTTTGAAAACATAATAATAATAATAATAGTTCATATTTTGTTATTGAAATTACTGTAATTTCTCCCTGTTTTTACTTTCTGTTAATAGTGTTTTATCATCGTTTATGATGTAACAGATATAGAATCGTTTGAACAAATACGTAAATATTGGCTTAGATCCGTAGATGAGGTAACTATTTAAAATGAAATTTACATATGTATAATGTTTATATTTGAAAATGATTCAATTGATGAAGGTACATTTTTTGTAGCCAAAATTAAGATCATTAAAGATACCATATTATTAAACACTCGAAATATTTATTCTAATGTATTTTACTAACTTTTATTGTTAATGGTGTTCTACGATTTAGACGTGTTACATATTGTGATGTTGACAACAATCACAGTTAGATCATCTATCATAAAGGATACAATCAACATTTAAATCATCCGCCGGAGTTGTAAATCTTTTTTATCATTTCACTAACAGATCATGTTTAATTGTTCTAAGAATGGCTCAAAAAAATTTATAGTACAGTGAATATTATTAATTTACAATGATAAAGAATAAATCTGTTGACAAGTTTGGTTGACTGAACCAAAGACGATCACAAAGTCGTTAAATTGTTAAGAAATGTACTATCGTTGTAAATTACTTACTTACTTACTTACTTACTTACTTACTTGCCTGTTACTCCTAATGGAGCATAGGCCGCCGACCAGCATTCTCCAACCAACTCTGTCCTGGGTCTTGCTTTCTAATTCCATCCAATTCTTGTTCATTTTTCTCATGTCTATCTCCATTTCCCGGCGTAATGTGTGTTTTGGTCTTCCTCTCCTCTTTTGGCCTTGAGGATTCCATGTGAAGGCTTGTCTTGTGACGCAGTTGGGTGTTTTCCTCAATGTGTGTCCTATCCACTTCCACTGACATTTGTAATGAAAATCCTGACCCTGGTGTTGGTTGACAGTCCCTCCGGGGGCTAATGCCGGTCCCAAGCCCGGATAAAAGAGGAGGGTTGGGCATGGGGTTAGCGACCCCATCCCGTAGGAAACACTAACCAGAAAAATCGTTGTGTATTACATTAGTATTGCTTAGTCAATGGTTTCACAATATTCCAATAATACTTCGAACATTTTTCATTATAACATGTGGAGTTTGTAAAGACTGTTGAATGTGATAGTTTTTACCACGAATGTATCCTAATTAAACATTAACCATAGCAGATCTAGAAGCACTGTATACCTGCTTTTTTTCCTTATATTTGGACTCCTCCTTTAGATCTATCCATAAATCCTTTGAAAGGGGATAAAAACACAGGATCTTCAGGTTTCATAGCGAGTGTTTAGTTTGTAAACTATTAAGCCGGAGTCCACTTGTTTCCATCCCTAACTTTCCTTCATTTTATAAACCGTGTTTCACCTTTACCTGGATGGAAATCTTTTTCTCTATTTTTTAAAGTTTTCTTTTAATATTCTTTATAGACATGTTATTGTTCCTAATATTTTGATGTAATTAAAGTTCGAACAAAAAGTATGTAAAACCACTTGTGTAAATACGTGCTTATGTACGTATGTATGTATGTTTGTGTGTAAATTCAATGTTACCTAATTATTCTTCCATGTATTTATCAACACTCACTTATATATCATCTCTGCTAATTGTTTTTTTCACAGTGAATACCATTCAGACACTTTCAGACTCATTTGCCTTTTTCTCTCTCTCTCTAAACAGTCAAATATTTTCCCCGTTTATCATGATACACAGATAGATAGATAGATAGCAACATGTGGATGAACAACTCAGTTGGTAGTTATGAATAATTTGTGTAATTTGCATAATAATCAAATTTATGTTAAATTATGTATACATCATTTATACGGACAAGAATTATCATCTTGAATATTGAATCATGAAAAAAGAATTCAGAATAGAAAAACAATCAGCATAAAAAGATTGATGGAATAAAAGCACCGTCTGAATTCCTTTCTTTTATTATTATTGTTGTTATTTTTGTTGGTATCCCATTTTTTAAAATTTTGTTATTCATGGTTAATTTACTATATTCAAAACAATCATTCTGTTTTGGGAAATAAACCAATGTATTACTACCGGTTCAGTGTATTAAGATAAAATCGGATTTCAAATGTTAGTGTACACACATGTAATGATTTGATCGGGCAATTTAGTATCAGCTAATTAATCGATTGGTTAATTGTAAGCAACACAGAACTTGATGAGTATATCCATTGATTCAAGTTGCTGCATCATAACAGTACAGTGAGATGTAATTATAAAGAATTAGAATTATTAACAGTATTAGTGGAGATTGAAAACATTAGTCACAAACAAAATGATTAGGGAAGAAGTAATGAATCAACAGTATAAAAAGTGCAAAAGAATTTTTAAACTCGGGATTTATGAGATGATGGGTGGAATTATCTATACTGTCCCGGCTGATTCTGACCCATATCGATCTGGCATGATAATAAACAACCCCATTCATAACAAACAGTTTATTACTGAACTATATTTTCTTAAATATAGATCAAGTAATCTATAGAGTTTAGAATTAAACATATGAAAACAGATTTCCTGTATACTTTCAGCTAAGCTATTTATCATATTTCGTAATATCCGCGTTTTTGAAAGATTTCATTACTCCCAAAGCAGTCTTTTCATTTCAATTTGATAGTAACTGTGAGAACCATTGCTAACAAATAACTACTCGATTCCCTTTTTGGGTAATTAAACCAATCAACTTAGTGGTCTGAAGGTTAAGTGCTGATCACTAAGCTTGAAGCCCCTCGATTAAATTTCGGCAGGAAATTTTGAAGCAGTGGACAGCCTTTATGAGATAGTGGGAAAGATCTGTAGCTCAGATAAATGATTTAAGTGGAGTTTTGTTCTCTGAGCTGCACCATTTGTCTGTGGAGTTTTTATTGTTCTTTTAAACAACATCATCAGCACAAACCTGGAATTTGCAATCAGAGAACAAAACTCCACCTAAACAGTATGTTTTTGTTTTGATCTAGGACTCCTTAGAAGTACTCATTCACGACCGCACCCCAGGGGATCACACGTGAACGCTAAACGTCTAGAAAACTGAGTCAAGATCCAACGGTATGCAAGTATAATTATAATCAATTTTTAAAGTGCACCATTAGATTATCGGCTGACAGGAGATTGTAAGAAATCGAATCGATTTGTTTATTGTTGCATAAATATTGAACAACGGATTAACTGATTAAACGTTTTAGTGACTTATTTCTATTATCGATAAAAATTGGTTTGAAAGTTATACGTACCGTGAAACATAATGGCTCTGCTTTCAACGCCTTGTGAAGTCCACGTTGCTATGGGACTTCTACAGTTTGTTTATGGAAGATTTTTTAAAACGGTTAGTGTGATGGAGCGTGGTATAAAGATTTGAGCTAACATATTGGCGCTGCTCATCCAATCATACGTGAACTATTAACGTCTTAATGAATTGAAAAATGAACAGATCATTTCATGGATCTAGCAATAGCTTAGGAAATAAAAGTAAAAGAAGGTAGCATCACGTATTAAACTTGTTGTAGACGATCATAGAAACACACAGATACTAAACTATTTATGCGTTATAGTACAGAATTTGGATTTTCACATTTGAACACATCAAAGTTTGCTGTAAAAATTTAAAAATGCAGTTAACATTTACATATAAATTGCACAATCAAATTGCTTTTCTGATGTTCCCTGTTGAGTTATTATTATTCATCACTACGTCATTATATTACTCATTTGATGCTTGCCTTTGTTGATGTACGTCCTAATGAATTGTGCCCGTTTACACTTACCCTTTCTGTCATGCCCTTATTGGAGGGTACCACTTACTGGAATAAACTAGTAAAAACACTTATCTAATCCCAAGAATTCTCTAAACGATATTAGCTCATAAACTTTTTTTCTAGTAATCATGTTAACTTCACCTCGTTGTATTAATGCAATCTGGTAACTTTGACCAACGAACATTTTTATAAAGCTCTGCATTGATGATGATTAGCTAGCTGAGTCTATGATGGATACTAAGTTTGAAGATTAAACATTTGCATAGCTTAATCACTTTTGTCATTTGTCGTTGTTATTGAGATGTAAGTTGTTCATCAATTTTTACATTCACTTCTACTCTTTTCTCACTATCTATTTATAATTTTTAATAACATTCATTCAGCATATGGATGATGCAGTGCCGGTGATTTTCGTGGCTAATAAAATTGATATGATAAAAGACAAAAGAGTGTCAACAGAACAAGGTCAACAAGTAAGTGTATTACAAATTGTGCTAAACTTCATGTTATCAATATTCTTATTATTAATGAGTGTTAATTTCATGTCAAAGCTTCAACTGTACGATCGAGTGAAATGTAAATCCATCGAAGAAAAGAATGCAACATTATACACAAAAACGATATTTTTATTATGAAAATATATGAATTATGTCGAAAACCCAGATGACGAGACTATAATTTATGGACGACCTTTGAACGAATCTTGAATGACCTTGATAAATTCCAGCCGATCGGAAAACAATCGGTATAGAATAAGAATATATAGTACAAAACCAAAAAGTTAAATTGGATACACTTCTTTAACATGGTTTAAAGACTTTTCATGGTTAGAAAGAGACTCGGCTGTTCTGAAGTCGTACTGCATAGAATACAGGGACTCATCCATGTGATTCCATAATAGTCGACCTATGGAGCTAAATTATTTTATCTTCGATCACATTACTTCTATATTATTGGTGTGTGCTACCACGATGGAGTCTAAAATGTGTCGCTTGTGAACGACGATACGATGCATGTAACCAAGTCTAGATAGGCATCGATATTGCTCTCCAAACATCCGTGTGTATTGTGGCACCCGGCTTCATATACTCTCGTAGAATTGGTATTACAGTTGTAACTTGTCACTGTTCTTTTTGAGATGATCTATCATATATACCAAGGACCTGAGAAGTATATTTTAGGAAGTGATACTTACTCAGTCTTCTTTAACACTTCTTCCTCGGTTGAGTTCAAGTTTTCTAACGACGGTTTCGTGAAGTTCTACGGATCTCTCGATTCCTCCAAACGACTGATCCAAGCCTGCCATCTTCATTACACATGTGTCTCGATAACACTCATACCGCTGAACTACCGAAGCTTCAGTAACATCTACAAAGTTTGCAGCCAGTGTTGTTGATACATCTATGATCTATTTCGCAACAATTATCATAATCTGTATGAGTGTCAATCGGGATTGAGCGAGAAAGTCTGTGGTGGTCGGTATTCGATATAATCCTTAAACTTCGTATACAGTTCGTCTTGATAACCGTTCTATATAACGCCCCAACCGTATATTAATCAGAAGGCGAATACAAAGCGTTGATTACGTTTATTACGAGACCACACACATATCCAAATGTACAGATGCGCTAAACAAGCATAGAAGAGTTGTGCCGAAAGGCAAGCAAGCGAGCGAGAGCCAGAGCGAGACGAGAGTGTGTGTATTGAATATGAATAACATGGATATATATATATATATATATATATATATATATATATATATATATATAATATATATATATTATATATTATATATATACATATATATATATAGTGAAATGAATGAGTAATCGAATCAAATAAGCGGTTAGTAGTAAGAGTAGCAGAGTGAATAAATGCGTAGGCCGTAAGCAATATTCAAGCATACGTATTTCATACAAGCACAATAATAATAAGGGTACAATAAGTTGTTATAGTGCGGATGACTTTGTCCGCTAAATGAGTTAGCAAAAGGGCTTAACTGAGTTAAATGAGGATAAACTCAATTGCACGTGAGTCACTATAAGTCCCCTTTCTGGAAGACCTTTTTCTCCGATATATATTACATCGAAGTTCAACATCGTCACGATAGTCTGCACAATGTCCAGTAGTCATTTGAGCACCACGAATACAAGAACTCAATAATCCCGTCAGTTGTATCCACTCAACCATAATGTCCTCGTCAAAATTCGCCGTAAACTGATCGTACGTGAGTGTTGGGTAATAAAATAGGCTCCATGACCTATAGAGCGCTCACTCGTCTTTCATTGGCTTTCATAAATTAGAGTCTTGCTTTTAAGTGCTAGGCAATATTATGTAATGACTGATGGCCATAAACTCAGAAAATTGTCAGAATGGAAACTAACTACTAAATGTTAGTATGTAGCATAAATTATATACACTAAAGCAATTGAACAAGGTGAGGGTAAAAACAGTGTAAATCAAATTAATGAGTATGTTGTATATTATTAGGATAGAAAGGTCCAGTAGATGAGGGAATATCGTATATACTTAGAGACATTCATCTGACACAGGGGAGGAAAGTAATTTATGCTCAAATGATCATCAGTTTTAGAAGGGGAATAGGAAACAAGAACAACTTTTATGATAAGTGGATTTAGTGTTTAGAGAGCAACAATTAACATTATGTATTGATTTGTTCACTAATACCGATCAATATTTATAATACATTGCCGAAACATATTAATCGTTACACATTCACTATATCGCTGACTGACTAAACCTAACTATTTGAAGCTTTTAGCCAGACGTTTTCAATCCTGCTGACCTACTATTTACCTTTTTTGACAACAGTGTTTGAAAATCAACTTATAACTCGGAAATACATGTTGTTATCCATTGCCAGAAGTCGTTAAACAACGTATCCTGTAAAACTAGTGACTAATATAAACGTTGAGTTCTTGGAACATTTATTTAATGGTAAGAATCCATTAGTGACCAATAATTTTGACTGTATTTCATAGGTTTATGATTTCAGTAATGAAGTTAGATCATAAAATCATAATTTTTATTATTATCATTACTGTGCACTTTAGGAGAAGCCCCCTTAAACGAATCTGACTATAAATCTTATATAATCAGAGAAATCGTTTAAATTAAAGTTAGGAAATGTTAAAGAATTTGTTGCGTTATGAGGTGTTCATTTTCGATACTGATACTCAAGCTTCCTATACGCAAATCCAACAGGGTACTTGAATGAAGAGGCTGAGAGTGAGAAGGCGTCACTCAACTTCATGGTCTAAGATATTTGTAAATGACTTACTTTGAAGATGATTGCATGTTTAAATGTGGCTTTACTTATGGTAATTTCTATAAAAAATATTCAGTTTAATTTACTACTCATTCGACCCCACTTCTCTTCTCTCCCTAACATCAGTTGACATCTCAACAAGCAGCTCATGGTTTCTTTGAGACAAGTGCAAAAACCGGTAAAAATATACAAAATTTATTTCAAGCAGTTGCTGAGTGCATGGTGTCTACATGGGGTGCTCCTAAAGTTAGTCTGATTTTCCGTTTTTCTTGAAATACGAACCAAAAATAATTTGATTCGTGTTTTGTCAGGTTTTTATCCTTTTTGTCCACCTATCTCATTAAATACGAATTTTGAAATGGTAGAGGATACTTTTAGCCCAGTGGAGATGATTTCGGTAAAGTCGCATTCACTGTATTCGGTGATTAAGTTGTGCCGCTTCATTGTCTTTTGAACAATATCATCGATACAAAGTTCTGATAGAAGTGGTCTACTTAAACTTCACCACATATGACTACCGGTTCATTCTATCGAGCCTGAATGACAGTGGTTATTACTGTCGATACTTGTCCTGTCGTTGTCCGCATATTTATTTTGATTGACTTTCACTATAACCCGATAATTGACCTTCTAGTTGTTTAGGATTGATACGATACATGGAAATTAGTCCTAACACTCAGATCTTAATTGATTAGAGAGATGGTGACCTACAAACCGGTTTCATCTAATCGCCTACGAAATGTTAATGTGCTCATTTTTTGTGAATATTTTGTAAATAATTTTACCATCTTATTAAACAACAAAAATCTATTCTTCTGATTAGTGGTTTTGTAAAATCAGTCAGAGGCTAAAGTCAATAATTTGGTCTCGAGAGCAGCCATCATTCAGTCATATCATATAATCGAATATTATCGATCGGTCAGCATTATTATCTTTTATTTTAACAATCATAAACTCGTTCATAAAACCCTAAGAAGGTAAGTCAAAAAAGTGGTCACGACTTAAGGTGTAGTGCACCAATTATTGATAAGGTCAGGTTTCAGAGATAATGCATAGGTTTGATTTCTGGTGGGTTTCATTGACAATTACGAGTAGATTGAGTTAGAGTATTATCATTAATCATTGATGGTTATTATTCACATTTTTGAGTGTCATATTTGGATCTTTCATCAACACGGTTCTTCGAATACCAAGGAATTTTTGTGACTGTTTGCAGTAAGTGAGTATTAGTACTATCACTGAAATTACATTTTCTGGATTCTACTGTTATCTACATCCCATGTTATGACTGTTGTTTCATTCCAAGTGCGTAACTCATTACGGAAAAAAAGCTGAAAAAGTTTAATATAACAAATTTGTTGCACATCGAAAACGTTGTTGATAACTTCACTCCGAACGACTGTGTTGGAACTAGACATTTTTAGTTTAATTTTAATGTTATATCACATCAGAAAAACAATACTTTCACATCTTCCTATTTAGATTATATTGGTAAATGTAAACTTTGACAAATTTACTTAGATATAATGTGAATTACATACTGAACACGAATCTGTATGATTGAAAGTAATAATACTTAGACTATTAAAGTTTAGAAGAGGGTATAGGAAACATGATGTTGATGATGATGAAGAGATAAAAACATTGTAGTAAAATAAGCAGAGATGGATCGTGGCTATCAGTGGAATTCAGGACATGCGTCTCATTCAATTTGGGACTCTTCAGCTGGATGTATCTCCATCCAAAATGATATTCGCTCTGGGTCTCAAACCCATTGCCACTCACTTCAAAGGCTCAGTAGCTAAGTGGATAACGCGATGACGTTTGGAGCGAACAGTATTGGGTTCAAGTACCTAAGTGAACATCAACTCTGTAATAAGTCAGGTAAACTATATTTATGATCTGTTTTTACTATGACCGTATACATTCCACCCACATTTGTGTAAAATTCAGTACATAAGTAATATTATTGTGATTTAAGGTTGACGTGATTTTGTATATCATTTTGGGACTTATTTGGAAATGTGTTTTTGGGAAGTCAATAAATCTTCATTGCACTAATCTTTCGTGTTATCGTATTGCATCGTTGAGATGAGTGATTCTCGTTTCTTAGTATAAGCAGTCACACCGGTTAGTTGTAATGATTCCCGATTGTAAAGTCAAGGCAGTAAGAATGCGGACTCAATAGAGTCGATACTTACATAACAGATACTACTCTCCGGATATAAAACAACTGACTACCCAGTTACAACAGAGACGACAGAGTCAATTTTTTCAGTCATAAAACCAAAATTGTCATGTATCATAGCGAAGGTCTAACACATAAATCATTGAATCAGTATCCATAGGTTTATATGATTGACAGTTCAATTGAATTTTGATATACAAATATTCTTTAATATTCTTGGTGGATAATTAACTGGCTCAAAATCGATATAGTTGAACTCCATTAGTCATGGATTCTCACTAGACCACGGAAAACTACTTTTCGAAATTAGTTATTAGTAAGTACATGTTGATATTTATTATTATAGAAAGGTTTTGTTGAATTCCGAATTTGTTTAGTGTAGTTGCATAGTTTATATATTGTTTTCATCATGTTTTTTTTAAAATTTTAGCGTTGGTATGAAATAAATACTGAGGGTAATAATAATTTAGATCCATGGTCAAATTCAGTGAGTTTTGTTTACGCTTATTTGAACTCGTAGTATTATTAAAATAATAATAATAATCATTATTATTATCACCATTATTGTTATTATCACAGAATATTGAATTTCTAATAGAAGGTGGTTGGCGAAGTCTAGAAGGAACCCCTGGATCTAGATTTAGTGTAAATCGACACTCGCTAACAAAGTGTACCTTAAATCTAGAGGACTGTTGGTTCTTATGATATTCGAACTTGGGTTAAAACGTTTTACGTTTTAAGATGCTATTGTTCAACTATTCAAGTCACGAGAGACTTTCTTTCAGTCTGATTGACTAATCATTCAATATGTGATTGAAAGTTTTCAGATAAATAATGAACATAAGCTTGATATATATATTCCCGGAAAAATCCTATTGAACAGTTTGACAAAGTGACACCAAACTGATTTTATGATGGTTTAGCTTTATAACAATTCAAGTACTTCAACTTGCTTCACTTCGAAATTATCTCAATTTGTGGTAATATACTTTACCATCTAAGTTTCTATTATTCAAAAGATTCGGGAAAGTTATCATACTCTTCAGTTATCTTGTCATGTCACTTTTAATGATTTCATATCCACAGGCATCTTTGCCAAAGTAACTTCATTATTAGTGATCTGAATGGTGAATAAACGATTAAAAACCGCAAAATACAGGGTATATTAGAATTTTTAATCAGTATAATTGATCGGTGATCTTCGTGGACCTTGCGTCACCCCTGAGCTCTTCCTAACCCTCACTGAAACCATTCATTTACTTAAAAAAGCCGTTTTTCACCAAGTTATCTCTGTTAACAGCCTATTGGTTTCGTAATTTTTCTGAGAGACTTTTTCAATTTCATCACGAATTAATATCCATTTAGGTATGGCTTACCAAGATAAATTGATACAATAATTTTTTCCCGCTTTTTATGTTCTAACAAATAGTTTTCTAAATTTTCTTTGAAAACCTTGTAGTATAATCATCGTCACAAGGATACAGTTCAACTGGATCAGAAAAGAGCTCCTAATAAAGTACAATGTTGTTTGACACATTGACGGATACGTATCTTTCGGACAGTAATGTGGCCTTATTATTAACTCTTTTCAAGCTATACTACTATAATATATATTAAGTAGTTAAATTTATATTACATTTATTCTTCAGCATCGTTTGATATTAAACCTACTCCCCAAGAATATTCAAAATAAATTATTTATACATCCTTCAAGTAAAAATGTGTAAATAAAACATTTTCTATATCACAGATAGTTTATTATGCTTATTTACATTCATTTAAACTTACCATTCGTTAAAACATTAACACAAACATACGCACATTATCAACACAAGCACCCATGGTTTTTCACTAACCACTCACAATACACAGCAATCTCTTCATAATAAAATTTGAACTACCGTAAAATGAAGCCAAGTAGAGATGTTACTTCTCAATTTAAGTAAACAAACATTGCAATCAAATCTCTTTTTATTGTACAGTTTTTTCATTCATTCTAATATGCATATACGTATGGAAATATGTATGTGATGGCACGTTATAGAAAACGTGGCTGCAATAAAATAAATATCAAGATAATTAATTAATCATTATAGAGCTCACTTTCATGCCTTCATTCGTTATTATTACTTCTTTTCTTTTGGTTAACCAACTTACTTAAGAACGTTATCATTTACTGTTTAAAGTTATTTCTTTATTTTATTGATTTGCATGTTGGTTTGTTTGTTTGTTTCTTTATTCGGTAACATATCTTTTCCCCCTAATCCTAATATTATTATATATAGATAAATAGATAAATCTTTTGAAAGTAGTTACGGAATTCATCAACGTTTATACGGGCATGATTAGGTTGGTCCGAATGAAAATGTAATAATTTTAAGCGAAAAAATATGGAGGTACACTAGTTGAAAGGTATGATTTTCATAAATTGTTTTTATAGTACACTTGTCTCGACGATTTAATCTATATGAAGCGGTAGTTGGAAATCAGCATTTGTCAGTGGGATAACTGTGACTTTATTGTTAAAGATGAATAACATAGCTGTGCACTATTCCAGTGTCTTTACAGAGTACTTTCAATCATCAGTTTGGGGTTGTATAGGTTATGAAGTTTCATTGAAATGATGGACCGATCAATCTTAGGCCATCATTAGAAACCTTTAAGCACTAGGAGACCGTTTCATCCTAGCATGGGACTTAACACTAGCGCGCATTCATAACCATGCACATTGGTGTCGAAATCAAGACTCTCGATCTTGCGCAAGAAAGCTTAATTGCTAGACGGCACGTAATTGTATTAGCGCTCAACTTCAATCAATCCACGACAGTGCGCTGCCATCTTACAATCATCCACAACTAGGAAGAAAAAAGCGAATGTACAGACATTTCATGGAAGAATAAAATTTGGTTACTGAATCCTTTTCAAAATTTTAACCCAAATTGTCTAGTTACATAATTGTTCTAAAAAAGTGATTTATTTGAGAACACTACACTAAATAAATTTTTAGATGTTATACCCATCCAAGTCGTCCCAGTTGATAAAAACTGACCACCTCATCAACCGATTCACAGTTTTTAACTAGTACCCTAAGTCTAACGTCAACATTGCTCATTCAGTGATCCCGAAATAAAAGGTTACTGTTTCGGAGACAACCTTTAACTGAGTACTAGCAACCTGCGAATATTATCAATTCTTAATAGTAGTCCTCAACATCCATAAAGTGCAACAGAGTAAACTGCTGTTCAATAAATTTTTTTTGTTGGTAGAAGGATATCTCGCCTACATCATAAGACGATTAGAAGACTTCATTTTGTCAGCGTTTTCACCAAACAGAACTATGTCATCTGAGTATTCGAAGTTGAGACGTTAGTCTTCTAGTAGCAGATTAATATCTAGAACTTCGGATAGTGGGAGGTTCATCTCCGAAAGGGTGTCTATGAAGTCAAATAATAGGCAAGAAAGTGAACAATTCGGACGAACACCAATTTAGGTTGATATTTCTGACGACAGTTTGCTATGAGCACTATAATGACCAGCAGTGTCCGAGTACCGTCTTTTTAAGGTTGATATATTTCTCTTTTACATCTTTTAGTGGTAGAAACTGCTACAGAACCTTTCAATCAACAGAGTCAAGTGCTGCCTTAAAGTCAAAAAACAACTAAAGCTGGAGGTCAGAGAGCATATCCATGTTTTAGGGATTGATGAAAAGTGAATATTTGGTCTATGCATTCCCTGTTCGCTATCTACCGATTCTATTTAACAGTCGGATGATTATTAAAGCTAATATTTTCGACACTATGATTCAACTCGATTCGTCTGTCATAAGAGAATTTATGTTCCTTTCTGTAAACTGGGACGATCAGCGATAAAAACCAATTAGGTAATATCACGTTCAGTCCTCATGTTCTAGTTAATATCTCAGTCAAACTAACTGTTGAAAATGAAACACTAACACTACAGATCTCAGGATCTGGTACTACTTCTTAGCTTAGATTAACCATAATCTTTTCAACCTCAATAAGAATTGAAGGACTTGTTCCAACTTCCCATTCATGCTATCTGCAGATAATTTCTGGTTAACTTCCAAGTACCCAATAAGTAACAGTCAGTAGTTGTGTCAAATTTATTAATAATAATATACAATAAATCGAAGCTTAGACTTTACATACTACAACTATAGAATCAAAATATTGGGCTGTGCTAGACTAATATACTCACAGAAGACAGTTGAACATAGTTTCAAACACTTTTACTGAAGTCACAAGTAAAATTACTATTCAATATATAAGATCGTACTGCTAATCAAACCTAACAATAACCTAAAGCACTAAATACAACACACTTATTTGAATATTGAAAACGTTAGGGTTAACATTAAACTTCAATCATAATAATTATTCTCCACTTTAATGCTATGCCAAATTCATCGGAACGTTAAAAGGAGGGGCAAATTAATAAACGTACGTTTATATCCAAAAATATCTTTATTTTATCTTCAATAAAATAACGTTACAATATAAAGAAATAAAAGATTTCTTCTATGGTGTTGTGTGAATTTTGTTTGTTTATTTGTTTTCCTCTTTTTTTTTTCAAAAAAAACGATGTTTCATTCCATTTTCTAGAAATATATTTGATCCATCTCTCCACCCACTTTTATGAATGTTCAATGATCAATATATATGCGTATATGATATATGTATTAAAAAAATAATAATTGAATCATCAATAAAATAAAACAGTGACAAATATTTTGTTGCTATGAGAAAATACATTCTTTGTCTTTGTTTTTTCTTTCTTAAATTAAATATGTATAATCAGAGAGGAAAAGATATACAAAGAATTATATTTGAAAAAAAATTTGTAAACGATTCAAAAGGATCATATAGAATAGAACAAATGATAGATATTATTATTGTATATGGTGTTAATGATATTACAGATAACACCGGGTGAAATGAAATAAATGAAAATAGTAAATACAATTCAAATATGACATCTTATTATAGTTATCCCCCCCCCAAAAAAAGATAATAATAGACAATTTAACTGGTGGTTTATACTCAGTCTGATGTTCTAGATCGAATCTGTCTCCTCTTTTTTTTCTTTTTTTTTACTGTGAAAGGTCTTTTCAAAAAGAAAAAAATCAGCGTTTAAAATAAGTAAAAAATAATTTTTTTGTTTTTCACAAAAGAACAAATATTCCATTGTTATCATTTATTTGACATGTATTGTTTTTGTTTGTTTTTCCTTAAATAAACTTGAAAACTTATAAATGCGATGAATGTTCAATGATAAATGATAAACAAATACATAAACGTTTCTATGGATGATTGACTAGAATTAAATAAAAATTTAATTAAACTATAATTAAATATTAAATAAACAATAGACATATTTATTTAATATTCATCTATCATACATACAGGTATTTGATTAGATGAATTTGAATTTAATATTACTGAACTAGACATTAATGGATCAAATGTGTATGGTAAATATTTTGGATAATTTTGACGACAATCTGTTGGTACATTAGGATAACAACCATTTGATATAATATTACATGTATCTAATAATTGACGTACAAATAATTGTTTATATTTTCCATTGATATCATCATTATTTGATACATAAATTAATATTAAATAAAATCTTGGATAATCATTACGATGATATGCTGGTATAGTTAATTCGAGTGAATGCATTCCTTGAGTTGTTTGACAATAAATTGGTTTTATAGTTTGTTTAATTTGTTTAGATAATGTATGCTTTGGAAATTCACAATAATCGGTCTAAAAAGAAAATATATATAGAATAAATGTAAAAATAAATAAAGGATTAATTTTGTGCATGAATAAATTTGTGGGTTGTTTATCATTACAGATTGATCTCAGTTGTGATACAATTGAAAACTAAGAAGTACTGAACACCTGTCTCATTATAGTAGGCGACTCCTTAACAGTATACATTAAGTAATTAGAATGGTAAGCCTGAAATTTCTCTAGTCGATTCACGTGTAAGGGGTTTGTAGGTGCTCCTTGATTAGATTTCGTGATGAGTTTATTTTCAATTTGGTTATATGTTGAATAGTAATTAACAGTGGAATTCAAGGAGGACGTTTCTTGACTAATTTATGAGTCTCAGTATAAATATCTATAGCGATACAAGTATATCAAGCTAGTGAATCACACATTAGGAAAAATTTCATTTCACTGTTATTCACTAATTAAATTTTCAATCAACTATTGGAAATCAGTAATGATAAAAAAGCACGTACAGTATGAAGAAGTCGTTCAGGTGAGAAAACAAGTATACCTTGTAGAAGTATATTAAAAATTTTGAAAATTTAATCAATGCCGTGTAATTTTATCAATTTTGTACACCTATGTAACGACCTAAACATTTAATCGTTATATTAATTAACCTGACTTGTTGTTAACACTTTATATTGTAAACAAAACGGAAATGAAGTTTGTGGTTTTTTAATAATGCATTGTATTTTGTTGCAGCTACATACAGTTGAACAACTTCGAGTGACAC